TGCTGGTTGGTATCCAACCATGTGATAGTCTCATTACATTTCTGCAAGATCAGCTGGCGATCAGCGTCCGAAATTTTTGCGCGTATATTCTCATCATCCATTGTGGATTTCATTTGGAAGCAGTAGGATTCGAGCGCATTCTTGGCGTTGATACGTTCACGTTGCTTCTCATCCTCATTGCGATACTGTTCCGCCTCATTTACCATGCGTTCGATGTCGTCCTTGCTCAGCCGTCCCTTATCGTTTGTGATGGTAATTTTATTCTCTTTCCCAGTGGACTTCTCCACAGCTGTCACATTTAATATGCCATTCGCGTCAATATCGAAAGTCACCTCAATTTGTGGCACGCCGCGCGGTGCAGGCGGTATGCCGCTCAGCTCGAATTTGCCGAGAATATTGTTGTCCTTGGTCATGGCGCGCTCACCCTCGAACACCTGTATCAGCACGCCTGGCTGGTTGTCCGAGTAGGTAGTGAATACCTGCGTCTGCTTTGTTGGGATTGTCGTGTTACGCTTGATTAACACGGTCATGACACCGCCAGCTGTCTCGATACCTAGTGAGAGTGGTGTTACATCGAGCAGCAGAAGATCCTGTACCGCCTCCGATTTATCACCGCATAATATAGCCGCCTGCACAGCAGCGCCGTAAGCGACCGCTTCATCCGGATTTATGGACTTATTCAACTCCTTGCCATTGAAAAAGTCCTGCAATAGCTTCTGTACTTTCGGTATGCGCGTCGAACCGCCAACTAAAACAATATCGTGTATCTGTCCCTTGTCCATTTTCGCATCACGCAGCGCCTTCGCAACTGGTTCCATGGTGCCGCGGAATAGATCACCATTCAACTCCTCGAAACGTGCACGCGTTATGGATGTGTAGAAGTCAATGCCCTCGTACAACGAATCGATTTCGATGCTCGCCTGCGAGGAGGCCGAAAGCGTGCGTTTGGCGCGCTCGCAAGCTGTGCGCAAACGTCGTAAAGCGCGCTTATTTTGTGCCAAATCTTTCTTGTACTTGCGCTGGAACTCTTGCACAAAATGATTCACCATGCGATTGTCAAAATCTTCGCCGCCCAGATGTGTATCGCCTGCTGTAGACTTCACCTCAAAGATGCCGTCCTCAATGGTAAGTATGGACACATCAAAAGTGCCGCCGCCCAAATCGAAAATCAATACATTGCGCTCACTGGTACCCTTCTTGTCCAGACCGTAAGCGATGGCTGCAGCAGTGGGCTCATTAATGATACGCAGCACATTTAAGCCAGCAATGGCGCCGGCATCCTTTGTAGCCTGACGCTGTGAGTCGTTAAAATATGCCGGCACCGTGACGACAGCATCTGTGACTGGCTTGCCAAGGTACGCCTCTGCGGTTTCCTTCATCTTCGTCAACACCATCGAAGAGATCTCCTCCGGAAAGAAGCTCTTCTTTTCGCCCTTATATTCGATGCGCATTCTCGGTTTGCCATTCTCGTTGAAGACTTCGAAAGGCCAGTGCTTCATGTCGCTCTGCACGGTGGCATCATCGAACTTGCGGCCTATCAAACGCTTTGCATCTGCGATGTGAAAGATAAGAGGACAAAAAGATGGTATCTGGGGGATCATATAAATATGTATGTATGTATATATGTTATATGAATTAACTAAACGCAATTATGAAGCAAGTGAGTAGCAGTACACTTATGGCGTTTTCTTTTTTCGAAAAAATGCCACCTCCTTATGTGGCGACATTTTAAAGAAAGAGCACACAATATGTATGTGAAGATGCAGAGAAAAGAGCACGGAAACCTGACAACCCTGGAGCAGGGCAGAATAAATGCCAAATTATTTCGGGAAAAGAAAACGCTATTAGTGCATATGAACTTCTGTGATAGATTCGAGGGTGATGCAAAAAAGAACTAAAAGGCTAAACTTTTACTTTTAACGGCAGGCTGATTATTTTATTACAAACATTCAACTTTAGTACACACTTAGCGAATAAAACTGTGAAGTTTAATTGCGGCGGACAACACAATTTTTAAATTACATTGCATTTGAGATATTAGTCAGGCAGAATATATATTTACTCAAACATGGGAGTCCAAAGACTCTCTGAATTACAGAACTGAAATGAGAGCACAAAACAAATAAGGTTTCATATTAGATCTAACACACAGAATGGACACGTAGTATATTTGTAATTTTATGTATAGAATATAGGAGAATAGATGGGTTAATAACAGTGAGTTGATAGATAACAATTTTATGGAAAAAAAAAACATCCAAGGAGTATGGAATAACCCAAAAAACGCTTTTTAAAGTGATTTTGATCAAACTCTTAATTATCTTGCGTAAAAAATAAAAACGGTATTGCATTTGAATTATTGGCATAGCCGCTGCCAAAGTGTAAAACTTAGAGGTAAACAGATATTTAAATATTTTTTCTATAGTTCTTTGTTATAAAATTGATAAACGAATCGACTGGAGGTGTTTGACTCCAGTATAAAGAATCATTTGATAACTCAAGCAGCTCCTTCATAAAAAATATGAGAAGCCTTTTTATAGCACAATCACAATAGATGTACACTGAAAAAAGATAAACCTAATTGTTCTCGTACTTGCGCTGGAAATCTTGCACAAATTGATTCACCAATGCGATTGAAAAAACTTTGCCGCCCAGATTTGTAAGGTTTATCATATAAAACCTCGGATTACCATTTCTGAGATATAATGATTAAACAATTGTGTTCTCCATAATATGCACAATTCCAATGTACCTGTTGGTGCGTTTTTTTAACAGGACTTTCCCGGTAGGCCTACTCCACGTCTTACTGTAGTCCTGTTTAACTAAATAATATTGCATGAGATAAAAATTGTACCATTTGAAGTGATGAAAGCAGTGTGAATTAAAAAGACTTAAAAAAAGACGATTCATCTGATTGAAAAAGTGCACTTACATTTTTTTTATATAGCTGGCCAGTCTCAAATTTCTTTTTATGCACTGAAGCTCATTGAATTTGCTATCTTCTTTGTAAACAATATTTTCCCACCGGATTTCTATTTCAGAAGTTAATCATTGACATATCGAAAATTTGGCATAATTAAAAAAAAAAACAAGTTATTTTTAGCAAAAAAAAAAACCGACTTCAATTCTCATACAAAAAAGATATATATATACATATATTTATATATATCATGAACCAATGATCGGATCTAAACCGGATTAGTATGGGACTATCCCCTAGGACACTACTTTTCCGATGCAAAAAGAATTATAGAAATCGGTTGACGTGGTCCAAAGTTATGCGGTAAAATACATTAAAACAAATACATATAGTATATATTCCGACGAACTGACAACCTCCTCCTTTTTTAGAAGTCGGTTAAAAATTGTATAGAAAATTACTCTCGGTAAAAATATCAGCATGAAAGAACCTGTTAACTTCCGAATAGTTGCCCGCTAAAGCATGATTTTTTATAAATACCATAAGACCCTGCTCACCTAAATTGAATGCTAAATGTAAAAGTTATGAGCACTTGAGTAGAGATATATACATAGATACAAAAAGTTTCCATACAAATTTATGATTTGCATATTATGTATGGAGAACCACGTCAACCAGATAGTTATTTTTGCTTAGCTTTCAAATATTCAGATTGTATAAAATTTTTAAAATTATTCCAACTAAACTAATTTGGAACTAAGCATGAATTTGTGTGAGATTTGCAAATTTCTGTTCAAGCTTTTCACAAATAAAATTAAAAAAAAACCAACTAGATTTTTCTCAGTGTACATGCATACATATACCATTTCCCACCGAGAGCCGAACGCCCTTATTTTCGTTTTCGATTCGATTCGACAATCCATTTTGAGATTACGGCACTCGATACAACGAGTCAATATAAATTATATTAGAGAAGAAACGATGCAACTTTAATTTATTTATGTATAAGAAGCGACAAATGCGACAATGAACGACTAAAATCCTGAAGAGATAGCCACGTCTGGTACACTGTTGGTTCCAAGACCATGACCATGGTATCGGAGCAGAGGTCTTTTGTATACAACCCTGATGACTCTTTTTTCACTAGCATCGGGCAAGCTTAATCTGTTTTTCAAGCCGAGCTGCATGTCTGAGGCAGGCGCCCAACAAACACGTCTACGAGTATATGTTTTTATACACTCTGACACAAGGGCGGCGGTCCTCGCCTGGGCTTTGCTTCAACATTTAAAATTCATCGCATACAGAACTCGGATTTACTTCATTTGGATACCAGGGCGATCATGAGCCATGAAGTGACAGACATTCTCGCGAGGAACCTTCATCGGCATGCCATGGAGTACACTTAGGCGAAATTATTATATGGAAGGAGCAACATTACAGGGAAAATTCGGAAAGTTGCAGATAGACAAAATCTTTCATTCCGAAAATATCAATAAATAGAACTAAAACACTCCGAATGCCTAACAATCTTTACTAAGAATGGTTACCGACTTTCTTACTGGTCACTGCAGGGTAAGGAGGCAATTGTCACATCGAGGAGTTGTTCACTCCGTCCAGTGCACGTTTATATATTGAGCAGAGCTGACTCGTAATGATTTCTTTAGAAATTAAATTACTCTCAATTACAAACTACAAGAGATTCCTTCAGTCCACAGCAAAGGAATTATGGATGGTTGAGCGGGAAATACTTTCACAAAAGCATCGCTCCACAAAAAACATCTCTTAAAGTCATACCAATGCAATAAATATTTTCATACAGCAACAGGTATAACATATTTACACAAACACAAATAAAGTAAGTTATATGTATTGTTGAGTTCAAAATGCGTAATGCACTTTCTAGAAAATTTGTCTGCATTACCCCAGACATTGAGTCGAAATTGAGGTGACTCTGGCACCTAATTTTAAGATAAAAACCTTTGGGACTTGTAAATATCTGTGGCAACAGCACCAACTCATACGTGACGATAGAATAAGACGTCAGAGTAAACAAATTTTAAAGATATGCATGTATGTATGCAGATCACTGAAGTAATGAGGTCGGGGTATAAGTACTAAATTGGCTTTGATGGGTCTGCTGAGGTATTGGACGAAATAAGTACTCCTATGCAAATTAAATAAGTCACTCATAGGGACATGTGCAGTCGATGAGATGGCGATGCGAACCGATTTGGTTGAGAGAGACGCTTCTGTAAAAGAATTTGTTTGTGAACTACGGAGCGAATAAAAGCATGTGCAACACCAAGTGACGCTGTGCTTAAAATATCTAAATGCAAATTATACTACCAAGTGATAGGTAAAATAAAAATTTACCGCCACATAAGCGGGATCAACGTAATGAAAATAAATATCTACTAAAATTAGCTGCATATAAGCGAGAATAATAAAAATGGACGTGGCAACAATAGAAAATTTAATTGAATAAATTAGGAATATTTACTGACAGACGTTGGCAACATATTTGTGGCAGCCATACACATTGGCACACTAACGCACAGTGTGTCGCGCGCTACAGGCTAGGTGGACAAAATGCATTCCCGGTTTTCTAGAAAAGGGTAACTTACTAACATACAGCATATGCCGAAAGCCCTGACTGAAAAGTATTTTTATGTTCTACATTCTAAGTACTATGGGGTGTTCTCAGTCTTCAGAAATCAATTTTTAATCTTACTGAAACCCATTGCAAGAAAAAACTATGCACTCACAACACAAGTCATTTTTTGGTACCGTATTTGGTCTGCCGCAGTCATCGTCTTTAGTCACTACTAGAGACTTTTCGCGGTGAATAAGAAAAATATGGCGGAAATGATAATTGCTTTCTATTTACTATAAAAAAAATCGAAAATGAAGCGAGGAAATTTTTTATCAACAATTTTATTAGAAAATAAACCTAAATACTTTAATATCATAAAACTTTAAGGAAATAAATAAGAATTATTTTTAAAACAATAAAATAAAAAAAACATGTAAAATTGTTGTAAATGGAAAATTAAATGAACAAGTCCTTTTTAAACAAAAAATATAAACAAAATTCTACTCTCATATAAAAATTTGAGAGTATCGTTAATTTCTTCATGATCCAATGATCGCATCTAAAACAAATTAGAATGGGACCACCTCTGAAGCACTACCTTTTCCCCCCCAAAAAAAAGAGAATTATACAAATCGGTTAGCAAGTTATTCGATAACATACATAAAAATAAAAATAAAAAATATTAAGACAAATTGATAACCTCCTCCTCTTTTTCAAGCCGGTTAAAAATAAACAAACCTCTGCCTGACGATTCGAACCTCGAATCTCTCGAACGGCGCGCTAGAGATTTGCTCACTCGGCCATTGCGACTGTTGGAGCACCGAGAGCAAAATGACATCCAGATATGATATCACCTGACTGTTTCTGTTTGTTTTAACCACACATTTTTGGTGAACTTTTTATGACTTTCTCTTACTGACTAGAGATAAGACTGACTCACTGAATACCAACATGAATATACCGCAAAACTTATAGTAAACATTTTTGTCCACCCAGCTTGTTCTGCACGGCACACTGTGCAATGTCGACAGTGGCACGGACGACTTGGCTGATGGTTGAGCCAAAGAGAAGCGACAGCGCGTCAAACAAATTTAGCAACAGAAAATGATAAATAGAAAGCGACAAGTGCATAATACGATGTGGCCAAAAATGTACAAAAACAAAAGGAAAGATGTTTATATTCTTGGCTACGAGTTGTACTAAAATTGCAGTACATATATGTATGAGTGCAAGTGTTTGTGCATGCATTCGACGTGCATGATTGATGATGTCTTTCGTTGTGGGGATAGTGGGTGGCGCTCAGCATCATAGTTAATCATATTTTATTGTTTATTTTTCTGTTTAGTTTTTTTTTTTGTTTGTTTGCTGTTTATTATCTAGTTTTTAGTTTTTGTTGAACTCACCAAAAATAGTGTTGTTTGGGTTCATGGCCACTTGATTTTTGGCCGCATCACCAATTAGTCGCTCAGTATCGGTGAAGGCCACATAGGATGGTGTCACTCTATTGCCCTGGTCATTGGCGATAATGTCGACTTTGCCATGCTGAAACACACCGACGCATGAGTATGTCGTGCCAAGATCAATGCCAACTGCTGGCGCTTTAGCCATTGTGATTGCAGTGTTGCTGCCTGATGCCGGGCTACAGTGCGGTTGAGGCCTTTGTTATTGCTGTGTTTCTTGCTGCACTAGCTGCTTTAATTATAGCGACGATGGTGAACGTTGGTGCAGCGCATTGAGTTGATTGCATAGCCAGCCCAAACATATATACATACATATGTACATATATACGTACATACATACATAGAGATGAACCAAATTTAGTTGCACCAAATTATGCAGAAAGAATGCGCACATTGCATAAGTATTCGTTGATGTAAAAAATAATCTCACAATTTCACAAAATATCCACAACTTACCTCTTTTGGTTGCTTGGCCGTTTGAGTAGAAGATTAACTTAAATCTAGGCGCCTTCTCAGAATGCGTAACGGTATAGGTAAAGTGATATGATGAGGAATAGCAGGACGAAGGTGGATACTCGCAGAAATTCTAGGAGTTTCTCTCTTTGCAGCTCCACTGCGGCGGCGTTCGCATATGCGTTACAGCGGCACGAACGCGTAGAAAGTTACCGAACAATAATATTTTCTATGCCAATGCAGTAGCAAATTATTTAATGCAATAATTTTAGCGACACTTAACTGATTTAAGCCCCGAATACTTGAATTTGTAAGTTGTTCAATGTAATTGTTTTGTATTTAGTAATTTTTCGCTTTCAAAACTTTTATTGCTCTTTGTTTTTTTGAGATTTTATTTTTGGATTATTTTCTTCAAAAACAAATTTGTATGCAAGTGTGTATGCCGCCAGAGAGTGTTGTGAACTTGGCCGTTGTTCGCAAGTGAATGAGCCAAAATGATCGCATTTTGTATTTTCAAAATAATTTCGATATGCTTAGCAATCGCTGTTAACCGTTTCGGCCGTTTGCGTTCGGCGAAATTTCTCGGGCGATGTTATAACGTCCATATGGCTCAGCAGATTTGGTGCATTTCTCTTCTGAGGTCGAAGACACTCAGTCGCCAAGTCTCTTAAGTTGTGATTTTTTTAATTTATAGACGCAAAATGAGATTTTCCCCAGTTCGATATTAATAACTACATATGATACATACATTATTCGTCAATTGAAGCCTCCCTATATACAAAATTCTTGCAGACAAATTAATTTTTATTCTTGGAAATTTAGCAAAAAAAAATTTTAAATGATGAATGCAGTTTTTTTTTTAAATCTAACATTGGGGAAAAGTTTTTAACAACTTATTGAATTCGCGCGAAACTCGTTACTCAGGAGATTTTTGGTTGCTGATTATGAATTTTACTACGAGTTTTTAAAATTCAAAATTACGGATTTTTTTTTTTAATTTATTGAGTTTGCCATATTGGGTCGATCAAAAAAAAACTCCCCAGTAACAAATTTCAAGCGATTAAGATCATTTTTCAAATTTTTGTCCGTTATACTGGATCAGACGTATGTGAAAAAACGTTATCATCATTTAAAAGTTAACATGTTTACCAAATTTTTATAAATATAACAGATTTTTTGTACCTGAACTAATTTTGGAAAAGCGATGAATAAATTTTGGACAATTTAACCACTATATTGTATCAGCCATTTTTAATTAAAAAAAAAAATGTGATTATTTTAAACTTTATCCGCCTTATTGGATTAAAAAAAATGCCACTCATAATTCAAAAGTAAATATTTTAGCCGAATTTTAAAGACTATAGCCAATTTTTTTTTACCTCAACCAATTTTGCAGAAAGGGCAGGGAGGCTCAGTTGACAAAGAATGCCTCATATGTACCATGAAATAATTTTCGTAAAAATCTGTTTTTCTTAAAAATCCTAGAGAGCACAAAATAGCAAGTGCATGATCTTGCCTTTTTAGTTCACGGGTGAAGCTACTGACATTATGTTTTTGGAGCTAAATATACTCTCGGAGTTGGTGGTTGCGGTAATCTACCATTCGAGTATGCTGGGGTGAAACTCCGACTGTCCCTGTCCGGCCTAAAATTACACCCAAACTCATACGAATTTGTTTGGTGGTGTCTGAGATGGCTCCGCCTTTACTCCGCGCATGGCCTAGGTAACTAAGGTTTTCTTTTATGGGGAACTATGCATCTAAGGTATTGATGAATGGTCACCGAAAACCGAAAACCAAAAACGCAATGAAGGTAACTCTCAGCCGAACTTGAAGACTGGTTCAGGAAAGAAAATCAAAACCAACTTCAGCGACTGGACCGAACTCCGATAACGATATTACTGCTGAAATTTGAACAGCGTAGTATCATCGAAATCAAGGCCAAAGTCATTATATCGGGCAGACAAGTCAAAGGGCACGAGACAATCAAAGAGATTCATGACTCCTTCCAGAAGGAACTCGGAAAGACTCCATGAACTAAGCCGTTAGAGTATTAGAACTCTTACTGGCTACCTGACAGAACATTGTAAGTTAAGGTACCATTTGAATAAAATTAGGCTTTCCGCAGATGCGGACTGCAGGTTTTGTGGGCTTGTGGAAGAAACCCCAGAGCATATTTTGTGTAACTGCCCACGTATCGTGAATGGCAGACTGATAGAACGTGGGAAACGATGATCTTCTCCATTAAAAATTTTGAATATGGCACCCTTCAAAGTGCTTAACTTCCTTAATAAATAGCCTGATTACAATTAGGGCCTAGCTCAAAAGATCTTTTTTAATCGCTGGGTGAGTATATCTGAAGTAATAATACTAATAAGAAGAAGTAGAAGTTGAACTCTTACTGAATGTTACATGTTTCTCCTCATTCTCTACGAGTACTTATTTAAAAACATGTTTTTTTTTTAATTTTACTGTAAAAGTTAATCCTTTATTTTTAGAGAGGTTTTATTTTCTCTATATGTACATACACCATTTATGTATTGCATTAATCCATACTTATGCACTTCATTTTTCCATTTTTAACTGTAAATTATTTTTGCGTTTTTTTTTTGTTCGTTTTTATTCTCAACAATTAAATACTCTTTTCGCACGTTTTCCATTGTTTAGTCTATTCTTTACATTTTGCTTCATCCACTTTTATAAACATTTTTTTCTGAATGTTAACTCAAAAACATTTTTTTTCTGGCAAGCGTATGCAATTTACACCGTCATTTACCATTTCGTAATCGTATAATTCAGTAATAAATTTTTAATAAAAATATTTTGGTTATTTTTAAATGTTTCATTATTTATTTATTTGTGTGTATTTTCATTGTTAATTTAGAATTCAATTCCACTACGGGTACACAGTGTTTATTTGCAAATATTTATTAAGATGAACGCTTGTATTTAGTAGTATGTATGCATACATACATGTTGTATAATTATAATATGTTTGTATGTAGTATGTAAGTATGAGTATGTACGAATTTATTAGTTGCTGAGATTTGAGATGTAAGTATGTATGATTGAGTTTTAAAATTTTTTATTTGCAAATTTGCTCGATTGTTGCTTTTTGTTTACAGTTATTAAACTCTTGATTCGAGTGTATATTTATATATGTATGTATGTATATGTGAAGGTTTGTGGCCTAATTAAAATGGTTTCATAAAATTAAAAATATATCACTTAATGTCCATTTCCGTACATTGTAAGGGTAATTTTGCGCAAAAATATTTTATAGCTAAAAATACCTAAGAAAGAAACAAGTTTTTTTGCTAAAAAATCTTTTTTGCTGCAGTGAAGTTACTACTGGCGAAGTTTATTCTGGACGAGCGGGAACAAAACAACCCTTAGGGTGCCAAATCAATACTAGCTAAATACACTGGAGCCCTAATTTTCACTCAATTTGATCAACTTTTTTCTTAATGAAAGCAGGGCATATCAAACAGGTAGTAGCATTAGAGCAAAAACAACATTTGCGTGTATTTTGTTGTTGCTTCTGATATCGAAAATGTCAAAAACTTCTGATTTTTTTCTTCTTAATCACAGCGTGTCATGTGAAAAAAAAATTTAAAAAAAAATTTAACGATAATTGGAAAAAATTGTTTCTTAGTAATTTTGTTTACTTCTCGAAGCATTGGCCCATCCTTTGCAAGGCCCAGCAATTAGCTGCTGTGCTGGTTGTGTTGGTCGTACATTCCAAAAGCTGATATTCAATAGATTGTTTTGTATAGAAAAAGGTTTCACATGCAAACAGATTTTAACAATTCAGAACTTTTGTGAGAAGAAATTAAAAAGTTTTGACATTTTCCAGAGCAAACAATTTGAAAAAAAAAAAAAATCAAATCAGCTGCTCTACTGATACTACCTGTTAAAATTACCAAGAGCACAGTTGAGCTCGATTATTATTATATTAAATATTTTAGTGCAAAGTGCAGAAAAAGTAGCAATTTTTAAGATGCTCCTGTACCTGCTAGTAACTGTTACCTAAAAAACTAGTTGAAGACAACTTTAGAGTTCCCCCAAAACGGGGAAAAATTCTCACGAAATACTTTGAAATGTTATAAAAAAAAATTTCACCTAAATTAAAAAGATTTGTTTTATGAATCTTTAGGAAAATTTTGAATACGTAGTTTTATAGATAATTTATTTTTAGTATAACAAAGTGCAGGTTGGAAATGGCTAAGAGTTCGCGTCGATTTTTATTATTAATCAGATTGAGTGAAAAATGAAGGCTCCAGTGAATTATGAACAGTAAATGCGTCTGCTGTTGCGATATCATTCAACTTTATGGACATGGCGTATTTGTTTTTTGCGCGTTTGCCCGCCCAAGTCGTTGCGAAGATTTTTTCAAGCAACTGCCACATTATATGAAATACAAAGCGTAGCAAAAAAAGACCGACTTAAATGCATAAATAAGTATGGCTATTTCTACAGACTTTTATAGGGACCCTCGTATTATCATTTTCCGTACCGCTTCTATTTCTCGTGACTGAACTGTGCCCACAAGCACCACTTAAGGGATTGTAAAGAACCTTTAAAAACGTGGAAGAGATATTTCTGTAGTGGCATGGCATCACTACTGGAAGGCGCTAGAAAAGTAATTTTTAAAAGATATGTTCATATTCTTATTAATAAACTCAATACGAAATTTCACATAAAATCAATAAGGAACCTCTATTGAATTTTCTTCGTTGTTTCGTCTGTTTTTGCTCTTGTCCTAGAAACTTTTCATAGCAACAATCATAGTTGCCGGAAAAAAAATTCGTTTGGAGCTAAAACGGTCGAAAAGAGCTAAATAATACTAATAGTGGCTAAAATGAAGAGCTACCTTTTTTTTGAGTTGCGCATTTATTGACGTAAAGTTGTTTTTAAATTTTCCGCAATTTTAATAAAAACATCGAGTTTTAAAAATTTAAGTGCTGAAAAACTTGTAAAACCAAAATAAGCTTCATATATTTCGAATTCGTTGCTATGGCACTTATAACACTTATTTTTATGTACATACTTATATAAACTAGACAATGAACTAAAAATACTTTAAAAACTGTTAAAATCTGCAATTTCAGATACGTGACAAGACCATGAAAACACGGGCTACGAATCACTTTTTCGCAAAATTTTTCTGAAAAGTTTTATTTGCTTCTCTCCTTAAAGGTAAAATTAGTAAGGTAAAACCGAAATCCACATTAACCTAGGTCCAAGAGTCTAAGGTCGATGGAGGCTGTATTTACAAATGTATCTTCTTCCACTGCATTCCGAAATTTGTAATTTTATCAACGCTTCAGTTTTGGCTTCCTTTTCTATCTTGGCCACCTGAGTGAGAATATACCGCCTGAGTTTATCGAGCTCGTATTACTGTCTGGTAATTGACTTACTTGCCCGTTTTCCATTTGCTTGC